AAAGTCGATAAGATCGATAACGATCGATGACGAAAAGTAGCCTATGACACCCGCCGGGGCCCGAAGTGTATGTGTGCTAAGTTTGGTCCGGATCGGTTCAGAAATGGAATTTTCTATTCGGAACATACGTACAGACAGACATACAGACAGACATATAGACAGACATACAAACAGACATATAGCTTTATATATAAGAAAGATACTTGCTGGCTTACCCGGCTCCGCCGTATGTTCCGAATAGAAAATTCCATTTCTTAACCGATCCGGACCAAACTTGGCACACATACACTTCGGGTCCCGGCGGGTGTCACAGTCCACTTTTCGTTGTCGATCGATATCGATTTTATCGATTTTTTGCAAAATTTGAGCTGCGGGGCTGGGAGTTGGCACAGGGGGGTAAGTGAGCATGAGGATTCCGAATACAATATTAGTTTTTAAAATCGTGCATTACGTTTATCGATTTTATCGATTTTTTTGCAAAGTTTGAGCTGCGGGGCTGGGATTTGGCAGAGGGGTGTAATCGAGCATGCTGATCACCCTCACGGGGTGATCAGCATGCTCACTTATCCCCCTGTGCCAACTCCCAGCCCCGTAGCTCAAATTTTGCAAAAAATCGATAAAATCGATATCGATCGATGACGAAAAGTAGCCTATGACACCCACCGGGGCCCGAAGTGTATGTGTGCTAAGTTTGGTCCCGATCGGTTCAGAAATGGAATTTTCTATTCGGAACATACGTACACACAGACAGACAGACATACAGACAGACAGACAGACAGACAGACAGACATACAAACAGACATTCAACTTTATATATAAGATTGGCGATAAAATATATCTATTGATCATACCGGCGGTATTGGCGCTTCGATCGTATTTCCTTTGGCCAAACTGGCGCGAAAATTTTTCATAGCTTTTTTTTACAGAAACGATTAGCCGAAACAGAGGTCAGATTCGGAATCAGTGTTCAAAGGCGGTGTGATGGTGTGCATCTCATGTCAGATGACCACGGACACCTGGTATCGTTTCCTTGTCAGTCGTGATCAACGGCTCAAGCGAGACCAGGACGCCAGATAGTAATTACTAAATACACAGCTAGTTGCTTTGAGCGATTGTCTGAGCAGTAACGGAGCAAAAGATTTCATGAGAAAACGATAATATTATCACCGCAAAGAGTGAGGAACCGCCATGAGAGTCAACATCCTCAGCTATTACTTTTATAATATGACAGTATTATAATTCCAGCCGCTCTCTTCCGCTACGCGGCAGGTTCGGCTGGTACTTGGCAGCTTCGCTGCCTCGTAAATCTTTCGTTTTACTAATTTTTTCGATATGTAAGCTGCGCAAAAAAAACCGAAGACTCAATCGCCTTCGTCGGTTTATTTGGATTCAAATTTTATGCAACAGTATACAAACTCCAAGAAACAACAAATCGATAGGGTCAATCAGTACATCTTGCGCAAAATGGCTTAACACACGGCCTACCCATACGTTAGTTTGCCAAATTTTATTTAGAATCCATGGCTCCTTCGATCAATTTTCAGTAGGATAAAAATTTTCTGAGAAGAGAATGGTCAGATATCGCAGTGGCCAATCCAAGCAATGCGCACCATTAGATGCAGCATAAAACGGTGACTTCGAATCTGTATTCCTTACTTGCTTAGCTCCTATTTGAGCGAAGTTATAAGCCTTTAAAGGCTGTTGTTTTGCTAAGAAATCGTGCATACAAAGCGCGAATTCGGCAGTACAGAGCCATGTTTGACTTGATGTTGGGCCAAAACATGCATCTAGGTTACTACATATTTTTAAAGCCTAAAGGTGAGCTGAAAGTGCAATGATATGCTCAAATCGCATTTTTTATGTACGATTTTTTCGCAATAAAACTGCTCATAACTTCATCCACAAATCCGCTAAGCAAATATGGAATACAGATTCGGAATCAATGTTGAATTCTGTATTGGATGGTAGGCGGCTTGCTTGGACTGGCAGTCTTCTACTTCTGAGCATTCCTTCTGTGAGCAAAAATATGCAAATCAATGGTTGTATAAAGACAATCAGTAGGTCCCAAACAAAGTGGCTCACTAATACATGCCCATACATTATGCCTGCCAAATTTGTTTAGATTCCCTGACTCCCTATCTTTTTGAGCGAAAAAATTCAAGCGATAGCTATAAAAAAAATTAGTAATTCGATAAAGGCAATCAGTAGCCTTCAAACAAAATGGCTCACCTACACATGCCCTACCCGTTATCTATATAAATATATAAAACTCAAAATTGTGAGTTTGGAGGCTATGTGCGCTATAGAAACGCGCACCGCTCAACCGATTCCGCTGAAACTTTGCACACATACGCTTTCGATCCCTGCGCAGATGATAGGCTACTTTTTGCGGCGATTCGTTGAGTCCTTCTATGGATTTATTGATTTGTTTACGTTTTTCTAAGGAACTGAAGGCTTATCATGTTGAATCAAGCGTTTTCCCATGATCGCGAAAGGAGGGCGGTGAAGCTCATTTTCACCACAGGATCACGAGGATGCGGTTTGAAGCGGATGTCCCAGGGTAAGTCATCCATTATATATAAGGGGGGGGGGGCTTGCAGTGCAGGTGAACGGAACAAAGCCCGGGCTGGACCGGGGGAAGCCAACTAGTAAGTGCTGAATCTGGTCTAGATTCCATGACTCCTTTATTCTTTTTGGGAGTAGATCAAGAGTGGCTAAGCCAAACATTGCAAAGTATTGATACTGCGCATATTGCAGCATATCACTTGTTCTCCCGTTGCATCTAGCAGGTGAGTTCGCTTTTTCAACCCTATTAGATGAAGTTTCTCTAAGCTTTATCGCTATGTATGCAGTTCTTACTCAGACTCTATATCATTCTCGCGAACTGTGAACCAATACATAATTTCAGTCCATCTGGAAACTCACTTTTGCGAACTTTTCAATTTTTTGATAGAGATTATTTATCTTTCTTGCGCAAACACCCAACAACAAAGCTTGTAGATTTTCGAAATGGTATGTTCGATATCGACAGAAGTCTCTTTTTCGAAGCCCCATTCAAAGGATTGTGACCAAGAGTAGCAAGACAATGCCATAATGGGCAAAATTATGAGCAAGTATACGTTGCCATCTAATCGTCGTTTGAAAAAGGTTTTAACATTTTTGAAAAAGGTGCCCACTATTTTCGCCAGCTCCAATATGATCCATTATACTAGCGAAACACAGCCTCTGGTTTTCATGAGAGCTGATCTCGTCTTTCGTTGTGGAGAGCTTTAGGAAAACGTAAGTGTGCGTAAGATTAGTGACTAAGAGTTTTCAGGATTCACTAGAGATTCTGAGTAATGAATGGGTTCAACTCTTAACTAGCCTAAAACGGGAAGGAATATATCTAATGGTTATATAGCAACCTGATCTGTAAATTTCAAAGAATTCGAACATTGGCAGTGTTTGATGCAGATGAAGGATGAGCCTTTCAACCATTGAAAGAAGACCTAGAAGAACTTGATCTTTTGCTGCTAACCTTAAAGATCTCATATTTTTCAGCCAAAGATTGGCGAAAATGCCATCACAGTGACTATAAAATCTCTAATAGATGCGACTAATCGTTTTTTTTAGACGGATAGATCTTATCGTGCAATCTATATTATATAACATGCAGTATATCCGTATAATGCCGTATAACAAGTTTTTTTTGCACTGGATGTTTCATTGTATTAATGCTTTGCGAAAGTTCCAACTTTTATCAACTATACAACATTTGCAGTCTGGTCTATGACCTTTTGAACTTCTTTATAGTTTTAATATACACGTGGCACTATCTATGTTTGTTAAAGCTTTGACAATGTTCCAATAATGCAAACGCAGTAGGGGGCCTAGATTCAACAAGTCAAAGCTTCAGTGGCAATTGTATTCATCCCAAAATAAAATCGGTTCTGACGTAATGGATTATGTACAATAAAAACTTTTAGTAGATGGAAAAAGAGCGGAGGATGTAAAGAAGAAAAGAGAAACAATTAATGTGTGGGCATGCTCATTTTAATATGCTATAATACAAGACTGCTTCTAGTTAGAACATCACTTCTTGTTGTGAAATCTTTGCACAATAGAATAAACCGGTCAATCATTCTAAACAATTGAACATTTCAAAGTGGTTCGTATGGCGAATTTTAAATTAAGAGATTAGGAATTCATGCACTGTAGAGTCCAAGTTCATAAAGCAGCACTTCAAAAGTGCACGCAACAGAACAACACTTTTCATTGAAATCGCTATAAATTCAAAATCAATCCCGACATGTATTCGTCAAAGAGCAAAGTATAGATGGGCGAAGCCGGTTACTCATAAAGGAGATCTTTGTTGAGAACGAGACAATGCTGGAAAGAAATCGCGATTTTAGTTTTATGAAGAAAAAATGAAGTTCAGTGCATTGAGACTGTCGCTGGGATTTTCCAAAAAAAACTGATTCTTTTTTTGATTGATTCTTGAACTGCACTACTTTCGCCTCTACAAACGACTGTGAACGTTTTGTTTCGCTAGTAGGGTTATTTCCATGGCGAACCCTTCAATGATTACGAATGTAGTACCTTGGCGGAGACGGTATAGGATCTACACCTCCAACTTTGTCGACTCTTGCTAATTGCAAAAACAATGCCTTCAATATGGGCGTAAGCCGACTTCAGTTTCGCTGGTCAACTACCGTACAAGTGCATAACTTCTTCTATAACATTGGCCAATGACTCTAAACAGAGTTGTTTATATTGTTACACAAATAGCCCTGTTGCTCTATCATGTGAGGCCCAGTAATAAACTCGAAAATACCGAGTACAATGCACTTGTACGGTAGCGATTCAATTACCTCGAGTTGTTGTCATTGCTTTGGCTTGATGCTAGCCTTTAAAAGCACATGAAAAGCCCTCGTGGGCTTAGTGTCTCTTCCGGCTTATGCACCATTCATTCGCTCACATTTAGTCGTTGCCACGCTTCATAATGCTTTCTCAAAATGTTTGTTTCAGAAGGTCATTAAACTAATTTGTCGTCGATTAGGTGTTAGAACTTAGCGGGGAGAAACTGGCAAAACAAAGGGAGCTGTGGAAAGAGCGTATGGATACCCCGCTAAAAATTGATAAGAACAGGGTATGTTAATGTTGATATGTCTGCAAAACTATTACATGTTTTATGACTCTAGAGTAGCCAGCTTGACAAGGAATTTTAGGTGTACGATACTCAAGCACGACCTGCGGCTTCTTGGAGTAGACTCGCTTCTCTGAGCGGCTCAAGCAAACCAGGTCGTGCATGTTTCTGTCAAAAGCTCGAAAGCTTCGAATGGAAGCAAAAGGAAGGCGTGAGCTTTGAGACCTGCTGGGACTAATATCTCGGAATTTTGTAGATTTGCGGTGTTGAAGGAATAAATGCTGGTGACGACAAAAGGTATTACAAAGAGAACACATATTAATGCAAGTAGAAATATACTACCGTGTATTTTTCAGAAAAAATGAAACAAAGCACGTATGATTATGTGCCGCGCTTCTCTGCCGATGCAATATACGAAAAATCGTGCTTATTTCTTATGCCGTTGAGGATGGCTGGATTATAGCTCCCAAAAAAGCGTTGTTTGTGAAATGAAAAATCACATCAGCCACAGATGGTTATAGCTAGCTTGCGAGCTGATTCCAATTTTCAATGCTCAGCAAAGTAAACTGAACTCCAATTATGACCTCCAGTGCAATCACATGTGCATAATTTCTGCGACTGAAGCTCTTGTCTTGCGCCAGTAGAAATGACCACGACTCTATAATATTTTGTATTCAATGCCTTTGCATTTATGAAACTTGCTATGTAACGATTCCCTACTCGTTCTGCCAATGTCCTGCTCGCTCTTGTTCGGTGCTGCCAATGTTCCATTGTAATCCTTTAAACATGTGACTAATGTGATTGATGAATTAGGGCCGCTTGTAATCAAAATTAATCGTACTTTCCTGTGCAAAAGGTTCGCTTGTACTAGGCAATTGTTGCTGCATGAACTTCGGCATTGACGATTGAAGCTTTTTATGTACTAGTACAAGCTATCATAATATTGTCACCACGACTGTCGTAGTACTAACCGCCCACATTCTTTCTTTTTAGAACTGGAAGTTGTTATCGTTGATTTTCATAAAAACGTATAGTAGCCAGCCTTTGGATCTAAGCAGCAGATTCTGGCAGTAACAAATTCATTGAAAAGTACCGTTTTTGAGTGAAGAGTTCTATTCCGTGCAACTGCAAACTTAATGATTGTGGACCCTTTGTGCACTCGCTTTACCATTTTGTTTTTTTTAGAAAATATTCAGTTATCAAGCCTAATCTAATCCCTTTAGTCTCTGTTTTTGAATATGAGAATCAATTCACACTTCAGAACCCCTCCCCCCATCCACTGAGTATCGTTATGGTAACTGTTTTAATTGACCCTTTAACAATGATTTCGTCTTCAATCAAAGTTGATCTTGCAATCTATAGAAATATTAGGTTGTCCGGAAAATAATGTCGCACCGTGTTTATCATGCGATATCGCGGGAGAATGCGCACGAAAGTAGGTAAGTGGGGTATCAACCGATATAGAGCAAGCTCTACAAAATGAAGCGCGAACCTTCGCGCTAGGTTTGAGTTGCGTGAAGTTTGGAGCCAAATATCAAGTACTCAAGATCTATAAAACGAAAAAAAAATCGCATCTCCGTTTAGAGAAGTCTTGGGAACCCCTAACTTGCTCATGGACTCACTATACGAGACACTCGTATGCGCATTTTCGGGTTTTTCCATGGCTGAAAACTGAGAAAACCACATAGGCATATTTCTGCCAAAACGATCCTGAGCTTCTCTCACATAAGTGATTCTGTAGTTTAAAGGCAGTGTCCAGGCTAAACCTAACCCCCTCCGATTAGTGTTGATCCTGAATGTAGTCCCCAGAAAAGGGGCATCTGCGTTGGTCCGGTCTTCTAACGTTGTCTCTGAATGGAGATAAGGGGCCAGAAAGTCCCTGCCTGGGCGGAGTCTGATATCAGACTCCGCCCACCAGGGACTGCTCACTATCTTGTCAATACGTGCCTCCCGACACGTACTGACAAGGTAGTGAGCAGAAGCTGCACACTGCACCCTGCAATGCAACTGCACCCATGCAGTTGCAGCTCCTTCCCGCTGGCCTGCCGACGGGGACGAGCAATTCGAAACTCGTCCGCGCCCTCAAGAGTGGGTCTCCAAGAATCGGTTTTTTTGTGAATTTTAGGGAGTTTGAAGTTCGGGACTGTAATCAGGGCCACGGAAAGGCCCCAGAATGACGAAAACATGGGGAGCCAAATTCTGGGTGGACGCTGCCTTTAAATCTTTAGGAGTATAAGCATGAAGTTTCAGCTTTAGACAAGCGCTTGCTTTCGAGAAAAATCAAATTGTTTGCAAAAAACCGAAAAACGCGACATATTCGCATTTTGAACCTCTTTTTACTTCTCGCACTGTAGCCATGAAAAAATATTACAAACTAAACGGGTGAATTTCTAATGTAGAGAGTACATGCCTGTGCAAACTGGAGATCCATGAGGCGTCTATGAACGGAGATACGACTTTCCGGATATCTAAAAAATTTTATATTTTGGGTTCGATTTAGATGGAGCACGATAGTTTGTAGAGTATCTTGGAGCTTGCTCTGCTCTATTAGATGATACCCTATTCGTTGTTTTTTTGTGGTCATTCTGTCGCGATAGGATGCCATGCGACATTATTTTCCGGACAACCTAATATATTTCAGTAACCGTAAAATCTTGGCCAAAAAGCAATACTGATAACAATTCCGTACGACAGAAACTTCAGAAAATTTTTCTGGTGACAGCTGCTGAATGTACTACAAGCACAAGCACTTTCAAAATCTGACGAAATTTCTTCACACGGTTTGACAGTTCTCTCATTAAAAAATGTTATTTTAGTGAGTCGTCTGTGAAGGCGAAATCCTGAACTCGATCTATGTAGTTTTTCTTTGCCAATTGCTAACTTGCTCATCAAGTAAATTTTGAATAGATGGCTTTTATTCACTAGATACACATTTTTTAGGGCTAGTCCCATTCTTTGCCACAGTGTAATACGTTCCTTAACGCTATTTGTTATTATCCAGTTGTCTAGTTTTTGGACATTGTTGCAGGCTCCACTTCCATAAAGTAACGAGGTTGATGACTGTCATATAATATTCTAATACTCTTATAATGAGCCTCGATCATAAAAATTTAGAATCGCAATCAAGCCCGCATTCATCCTCTTACTTCATGGTGGAAGCCAGTGACAGTTCGTTTTCATGCATTGTGTCACATCGATGTCGTTTTTTATTCTGTGTAGAATACTATGTGGAACAAATAAATAGCTAAGACGACGAAATATGAGTTTCAGAGTGAATAAGACATGCGATTGATGCAACGCAGACGAATTCGCAAGTATGAATAGGTTGCCCCCAATTTTTTTGCTTTTCAAAATGACGTAGTTTGGGGCGGCCGCTCGCTTCTAGCTTGGACGTGACGTGGTGCCAAAAATAACGTGGCTCAGACTTCCTCATGTTGTCCATGTTGCCACAAGCCAAATGATGCCCCGCAACGTGGCGCAAGCTCAAAGCGATTCGGCCGCACCAAAGCACGTCATGTTTAAAAGTAACAAAGAAATTGACGGCGAGGGTACGTAAGACTGCATTTCTAAATCGCTCGCTTATAAAATAATCAATTTCGAGCAAGGCGATGATGTAGCACTGATAATAGAATAGGCTCCTTGGTACTATTCTAGCACAAGTTTAACCCTTAAAACAAAAGAGAAACTCAGTTCTACGCCGAGTTGGTATATACAGGTAAGAAAGTTATCTGAAGATATCTGTCAATACATTATGGCAGAAAGCACCATTTTGTCCCCTTTGAAAACAGCATTTCCTTTTCTCTGTTTCATTACTATTAGGCTGGAAGAAAAGAATGTCGTTTTTCACTGTAGAGCAATTAAACAAATTTAGGAAGGTATATGGAGTACCATTCGATAGAGTAAGGCTCCCGCCAGAGTGCCGAAGCCATGCCAGCGCTACGCCAGCGCCGAGCCACGGTTTCGATCGATACACGTGTATTTCGTTGGGGCAGGGCTAGCTCTGACCTAGTTCTCAGCCAGGACTCCGCCCCAACGAAATACACGTGTATCGATCGAAACGCTAGCTCGGCGCTGGGGTAGCGCTGGCATGGCTTCGGCACTCTGGCGGGAGCCTAAAGAAGCTCTACAAGATGGCCCACGGACCGAAATGACTGAACTTGTCATTTGCGTAAAATCTAGATCCAAAACATAAGGACAACTCAGTCAAAGTCGATTTTCGCTCCCAAAATCTCTCATTCGCTTCTGCATGTAACAGACATAAGCACTTATCCTATCTTATGAGTACTATCTTATCTTATGAGTACACTTGCACATTTTTTAAGGGTTAAAACTCGGAAAATATGGAAAACGGAGGATGGCAAGCTCAGCCCCTAGTAGTTTTGGTATTCCCATATATGTCGACGTAAACTATAAACCTACGAAATTCTAAGCATGCAACTTCGGCCTTGGTTATGCTCTAGTCCTCGAAAAATATCAACTCTAGCTGAAAAAAAACCGAAAAAAGCGAAATTCTTTTTTCGTCTAATGTATAATGATTTCCTGCACTCGTTTTCATAGCAGTCGGTACACTTATTCTGTTCCACGTCTTTTGCTCCCAAGCTTAAATTGGCAAAAATTAGTAAAACCAACAAATGCAATAGAAAATTCTTTGACTACTCCATAATTAGCATTAGCTTTTCCACAAATGCTCTTAGGTCGCTGTATCAAAGTGCAGCTCCTATCAAACTCAAAAAAAAGACAAACGCGTTGGGTAGATGGCATGATCTTAAAAGCATTGTTATCTGCATTATTGGCAGATCACTTATTTCCCGTATTACTTCGAAGCTGCGCAAGTTCTTTAAAATTATAGTGATACAGATAGAAGTAGCCCATGCCATCCTTCCCGAAATTGTATTTTTGAAAGTATGGTTAGGATTAATACAGAATTGATTTGTCTATTCGGAACATACATACAGGCAAAGATATATACAGGGGCTTTCAATCTGTGGTCACGGTGGGCGCAGCTCTGGTCCTCGCTAGCCGCCTACAGTCTTTTTCAACCCGGATTAGGCGAAACTATCTACGTGAAGCAGCGCGTCCGCACCGCCACTGGCTAGGCGAGATAGATTAAAATGGAGAGACGCAGAGTGCAAAACGGCGCGAATCGCTGCGAAGCGGACTCCCGCCAGCCCAATTTCCGCCTAAACTGAGTTGAAACTCACTATACTTGGGCCACTCGGCGTGTTCGCAAATGTGTCTCAGAGCATCCAAAATTAGTTAGCCGATATATCAGGATACGGTATCTCCCATGCCTCAAGCGTGGAAGAAACAGTATTTACCAAGCGCAAATGCGGCGAGAGACCAAGGCTCGGCAGAGAACCAGAAGCAGGTTGGACTTGGTT